TCACATGTTTCTTAGTTCAGGATTTGCTTATTTCCTGTCAGTCTCCACGGACTGACAGAGTAGAAGTTAGCAGCATGAGCTCTAGAGACACAGAGACTGGGTTTCCACATCGACTCTGCCCAAAACCTTCACCAACTCACATGATCTTTTTGAACTTCAGTTTCTTCTTTTCAAACAAACAACAGACCTACCCTACTATGATTATTAGGAAGATTAAAATCAGAATATGGCTGCAGTTTAAATGAAAAATGATGCAAATTATGTCAGTGTGTGAGCATTGATTGCAACCCTGCCATTAGCATATTAGTAATGGGTTTGGAGCTGGCTTGGTACAGTTGATGGTCATGTGGAGATGAATGTTTCTATAGATACTGCGCATTGCAATTCCTTAGGCAGGTTCAGGGAACAAAGCCTATTTCAATAATTAGCTCATTTGATCTTTAGAATAGCCCCATAAAACTGGCTACCTTTCGCAGAAGGGAAAGCAAAGGCTGAGATTTGTTAAGTTGCTTCTCCAAGGTTAACAGCAAATAAACAGGACTAAAAATTTGGAGCCAGTTTTTCTGATGCTCTGTCCACAGCTACAAGGTGTGCATCCATTAGACTGGGAGCTACTGGAGGGCAGGTACAAGTCACAGAAAATTGATGTATAACCAGAGATGCATATAAAATGTCAGAATAGACATTCATATTTATACTCAAGACACTCCAAACACACTCTTGGAACAAAATTTTCCATTTGGACAGGCAAGGAAAGTTTGGCAGAGTTCAGGCTGGACTAGGAAGAGCTGGGCAGGGGAGCAGGGGAGAAGATAGGGTCTGGCTAGAACCATGCATGGTACCAACTTTGAATACACCTCCCTAAAATTTCCTAGTTCTTATTTGAAAATTAAAATGTGGTGGACAGGTTAGTGAGGATCCAGACAAGTCCAGGGGTGCAGATCTTGTGAAAAGTCCTGCATAACTTGGCTTTGTTGTTTCCCTATGCATAAGTGCATGGCCATGCTTTAAGTTTTAAGGGACCATGTTCAGACTCCAGGAAGTGTGTCCCAAGGGATAAAACTGAACTATATGAAACTTGTGTGTGCATACATACAATTTCATGCTCCACAAACAAACATTGAATTGTAGACCTTCTTGTATGTGAGTGGCTAATGAACACCTTCAACTACTGAGACATGCTGGTTAAGGCAATAAGACTTGATCTTTTCACCTTAATTTGCATGAAAGGCACAAAGTGCCCCATGGTATGAAGTTAAGAAAACATAGAGTTGGTCATGCAACCTTTTGACTGCTGATTTTGGAGGAGTGGGGAGGATGTCTAACAGTTCTAAGGGGAGGAGGCAAGGAATGAAGATGATCAGGACCGCAGTGATGAGTTAGTGATGAAGGTCTCTCTCGATGTCAGGACTTAACATGGTGCTCATGAAAAGGAGGTACGTTTTACTACATAATGACATGGGGTACCAATTACAGAACATTCAGATGTGATCTCTAGATGTGATCAACAGATCCAGAAGAAAAAGATGGAGTCACTATCTAGTGACAGCAGAAGGATGGATATTGTGTAGCTGGTGTGGCTAAAACCACACTGGTAGTTAACTCTGTCAGTGAGGGGCTCCAGGATCCCTTCTTATAATGTTCATATCATCCTGTGTATGTCCATGCAATCCTAATTCCATATGGTTCCACATTCAGTATAGCCCAGTTCAAACAGCCAAAGATAATGCAAAAAGAATTCTAAACTTTAACTTCTCTTTCAAACTATAAGAGAATCCCATTTAAATCACCCACCAACATCTCATATCCCTTTCTCCTTTTCATTTCTCAAGATCTCCCTCCCCCCATTACAAAACAAAACCAAGCAACAACAAAACACCTCTCAGGTTTTGTTGATATTCTCTCTTTTCCCTCCTGTATTTTGTTTTCAGTTATCTAAATATACATTAATTAAGCTTTTTTCATTAAACCATTCCCTTCGTCCTTGGATCTCAAGCCCATTCTCTGTCTGTCTTCTAGTTCTGTGTCATAAAAGGAAACCCCTAATAGGAAGAGAAGGACTCTTTGGAGAGTGGCAAGGAAGCTCTAAAGTCAATAATGACAAACCTTCAGGGGGAGAAGCTAGGGACATCTTATGTTTGCTGGAAACATCTGTGGCTATAGCTTTAGGGAGGCTTTGAGTCAGTTGAACATATTAGGAGTAGGAAAAAACCAGAAAGTGACCATGTCCATGCCCAGGGAAGGCAGGGAGAAGACCCAGGCAAACTTAAGCCAGTGGACGGGTTGCAGCAGGTGTTGGCCTCTGTGAACTCCTGAGTCCAAGCACTGTAGGTGATGATAGGACACTGAGGAGATGTTAAGGAGGTATGTTTTACTACATATGTAGTATCCTGAGCTATGGTGATAAGCCTGTTACTTGGAAGTTTCTTTGACTTGAATACATCTTCCTTTGAGGTAGATGTAGATAGTATTCTGGCCAACAGTAAGTTGGTAGCAGACTCAATTAATCAGTGATATATATATATATATATGCAGCTGGGGGTAGCTGGGAAAGAAGAGGTGCACAGAATTTTGCTTTCCTTTGGGGCATCTCTAGACACAGGAAGGGATTGTAGGTAAGTGGAAAGAGTGCAGTCCTATGTGCAATTTCTCTCTTCTTCCCCATTTTCTCCTTTTCTCCTCCTACCCTCCCCTCCCATCTGTAAACTGTTCCAATCAACTAGGCCAACAAAATGTCTTAGTTTCTTCAAAAGATGCTATATATGTAAACACTGAGTAGCACCCCACAACATGCAATGCCCAGGTTTTGCCTCCTGGGGAGAAATGGTGATCATGTGATGCCTGTTGATTGGGTCTGATGGACAGTTTTGATAGACATGAGAGATGATAAAGATACTCAGAAGAGGTTAAAACTACCACAAAGGACTCATTTTATAGTTGCTCCCACCCTGGAAACATAAAGCCTTTTCCTCCTTCCCAAAAAGTCACACGTTTCAGAAATAGCTGTGAGAAGGAAGTGAAATTTCTTCACAATCTCACAGACGATGGTGACGTGGGTTAAGCCAGGCTTTAGAAAGAGCAAAATTGGAAGAGCGTATCTGATTTACAAATCAGTGGCAAAGAATAAGAAAATTCCAGGTCTACCAAAGAGGTATTCAGTTCCATTAATTTGGGTGGACAATCCCAAACTCACCTCTGCCTCTAATACATCTGTAATTCTAAGAAACATTTCAATGATCTTACACGTACAACGTGCTTACTCCCCCAGGGAAATCAAAAGTCATATACTACCCCATGTAATAGCAACAGACTAGTCACCAGGACATATAATGTGGCCATGTGTTATCAGTGATGATGGTGATATGACAATGTAGTGTTGACCTTAACCCTTTGAGGGCTCTTCACCTCCAATATTAACATAGTACCTTCTGTTACCGCTCGTTTCTCCAACCAGAACATCAGAGCCTGGAGGAGAACCTTAGCTCTTAAGCCATTCTGCTGGGAGCTTGAGGCAAGACATGATCCTATTAGACAATAAATGTCAAGAAAAGATGTCCTCACAGTATAATGTCCTGGCCAGAGGCAGGTACAACTGATCCAAAGCAGAATCATGAGAAAGAGACAGAGGGACATCCTGGTGCTTGCATAGTCAAGAGAGGGTTGACTGGACCCTAGTATTTCTAAATCACTGATCGCTGGAAATGGGGATACTGCTTTTTTTTAAAAAAAATTCTGCATTTTATATTCATGTGGTTCCTAAGGTAGATGCTGGAATTAGTTGTCAGGGGTACTCTGTCCCTTTGTTTTGGTGGGAAACACATTTGATGAGCATTTTTCATCCTACAGATGGAAGCAAGTTCCCAGCCCTTGTTCTTGGGGTTGCCCTGAACTTTGTGCATAAGCAAACCCAGAGTTTCAGGCTGAGGTGTTGGTTTGGTTAATAATGTAGAAGGCTTTTTTGCCTGGGAGCAGGGCACAATACACCACATAGTATTATAATGTGGATAAATGTTTTGTTTGCTATGACAGACTGAGGAGTGGGAAGGTAGAGACTAAGGTTGGGGTCCTGGCATTGAAACTGAGAAGACGTGGAGGTGGGAAGTAGATGTGTTAGCATTGTGGCAGGCAGGGGCTAAGGAGAGGGGCGAGTAAGACTCCCTGTTTAAAGGAATAACCAGTGCACCCTGGGGACAGGGATAGCTGATATTTACCCTTTGTATTTTCTTCCCTCTCTGTAATTTCCTTGTATTATCCTCAAGCCTTGTGAATGCCTCTTAAACAGAAGATGCTGGTGTAGTAAATCTTGGGAATAAGGGAGGAATCTGCATGCTTGCTTTTATGAGAAATGCAACTGGAGAAAACACACAGTATGAGCAAACTGGTAGCTGGCCAGAGGAGTCCAGGGAGACATGCTGTTGAGAGGTGACAAGCAACAGCAACCCTGCTGGGAAGGTTTCGTGGGACAGGGCATAGTACAGAGCCTGTAATAGGACTTGTAATTGGGAACTCTTATATCATTGTAGGCTTTATCTCTCATGGAGAGGGCGGCCTGGGATGCTATTATTTGACCAATGGAAATCATGGGCAAATGGAGGTGAGAATGGTAAAACACTACTTTCCTGCAACTGTGTTTCTGGACTCATCTATGTTCCTGGGGCTCCCAAGCTATCCTGATGACATGATTGATTGCAACACAGCAGTTAACTCCTAAAAGACTCAATTCGTGATACATGGAATCCCATGGCACATCGCAGTGGCCCAGTCATAGGGACCACTGGCCCATAAGAAACTGGCCACCTCAGGACCACCTGCCAAGCAGGCAGCATGCACCCTTCAAACAGCAACACAATGAACCACAGCTGGCCCACTTATTTCAGGACCTCAATGGTTGTATCAGAAGATCCCTACTGGACGATGATTAACAGAGCAAAATCCTGGCCACACAGCAGTGATGGGGTCACTGCGGGTCAGCAGAGTCTTCCAGGCAGCAGCAGACTCACCTCCTTTTGATGGTGAGCATCACACCTAGGAGAATGATGATGAACATGAGGAGGCCAGCGATCACGCCAGCCATCTTCACGGTGTTGTCCACCTGCTTCTCTGGCTCCACAGTGTTAGAATTCTGAGTGGAGGCACCTAGGAGGGGAAAGGGAAGGACAGCAATGTTGAAAGCACCCACATATGTGACTAGACAATCATCATAATGACAAGAGTTTCCTTTAGTTGAGTGCTCACTATGTGCCAGGCACTGTGCTAAGGGCATCACATACATTGTCCCATGTAATAACTTTTGAGGATCAATTCCTTGTGAGGTTGGGATGATCATTACATTCTTCTGAGATGAAGAAACTGACGTGCAGAGAAATTAAGTGAGTTGCCCAAGGTTCTCACCTGGGTACCTGTGTTGAAGCATCCTTTTCCTTAAGGCAAATCAAGTTAAGATTTTTCTCTCTCTCTCATATTGCTTTGTTAGTAAGATCAAACCATGGAACATTTCCTGGGCTTGTGGAATTATACCTAACCCTACATTATTCTTTTAGGTAAATGATGGAAATAATAGCTTTATGTTGGGGCAACACAATTTAAATCACTAGATTTTTAAAGATAAAAAGAGGTTTTTGTTTTGTTCTTTATAGGAAACAAACGGTAGGGTAAAAAGTTTGTATATTCAAGGGAACTTAAATACACCTTGGGTTCAAAAAAACACTTAAATCTGATGAATTCCATTTTTAGCATTTAATACTAATGCAACATACTCTACCAGGTGTTAACTTGCTGACATAATCCTCAGTAGAGGAGGCAGGTAACTGGCCAATCACTATATCCTTAGCCCTGTGCTGGGTAACTTCATGGATCTGGCCTGGTCAATCCTCACAAACATTCCCAAAGATAGATGAGATATTGATTTTCCCATTTTATAGATGAGAAAACCAAGCGAAGTTGCTGAAAGTCACATGGCTGATAAAGGTAAGGGCCAGAATTCCACAGGTTTTGTGATTCCAATTTTAGACCTCAATGGTCAGAACCCCTGAATCCAGCTCTCAAGTCATCTAGTTCCTCAATCCTTTCTCCCTAAAACAACCATTCTGCTTATGCCATAGCAAAGTAAGCAGGCAAACAATGCCAAAAACCAGTGTCTTCATGCTATGTACTAGGGATTAGAGGCAACATCTGATTTCAGACATTCTAGAGAGTGGTCCAGGGGTTACCAGCACCCTAAGTGAATTTCCTCCTGCTTCTGTTTATATTCCCATTGGTGCCAGCCTTTAAGTGTGAGGCAGCTTAAAAGTCTAAACCACCCTTTTCCTAACTCATTCCTTCTTTTCTTCCACATCTACATCAGCTCATTCTTCATCAGCCAATACACTTTCTCTGAGTCTGTGCCCCTGGGAGAGTTTCTCCCTCTTCTCTAAATTCTATTAACACTTTATAACACTTTGCACATGCCTCACAATATCTCTTACTACAATGCACCAATATTATTAGTTATTTGTTTTCACATCTGTCTCCTCCAGTGGTCTGCAAACTCCTCAGGGGCAAGATTATGTCTCGTTTATCTTAGTTTTCCCATGTTAGCACAGACTCTGACTGGTAATAGGGCTCCCTAAATGTTTGTGGTTGTTTAGTGTTTAGCTAAGGGGATGACGTCTCTGCCCACACACATTTGTTCTCATGGAAGCAAATTGAGTTTTCTCCTTTTTTAAGTCATGTGTTCATAGAACTCAGCGAAGTCTTGAGTTGAAGGAATGCTACTACCCAAAAGCTATGGTCCTGATTCCCCAAATGCACTGATGTTTAAGCCCTCCAGCACATTGATGCACCCCCTTTTTTTTGCTTAAGAGCATTAAGAGTTTCCTCTCTCAGAGCACTTTCCCCAAGCTGTTGTAACTTAGACATGTTGGGTTTGCTTGGTCAAGTCTCTAGTGAGAATGCTAAGTCACCCTATTCATTTCTCTAATGCCAGTGTCTAGCACAGGCCTCCCTCCTCATCATTGCTGCTTAACAGATAATTATAATGTAACACGAGGGTGAGTGAACCACAGTTGTGTGCTTTATTTATCCATTCAATCATGCGTTATTTTGCCACTGAGTGGCCATGAGCTGTGTGCTAAACTATGCTGTCTGTAGAGTCAGAGATTCTGTTCCTAGAAGGACTTATGGATAAGGAATTTTATTCATTCCTTTCACAAGCTAATGGCAAAACCAACTCATCAAATTCCAGGGCTGACTGAGTAGACTCTGCTCATCTACAGCCTAGAGAATTCCTGAAAGAGTTGTCCACCACCTCTTTAGCAGGGCTGGTCTGACATTCCGGGATGGGGGGACCAGGGCTGGTTCTGAGTAGCTCCCATGCAGCCCCCATTTCCCAGGCTGGAGACATGATTTCTGAGATGTGGCTAATCCACAATGTAGCAAGCATAAAGGAAGGGGAGAATCTCAGATCCAAATTTCTTCAATATTGATGGAGTCTTTTTATTTAGATTTGGAGGAATGGTTGTCTCTGGGGCATTCACTCATTGGCACAGCCTAATTTTACTCAGTGTGCCTGCTACCAGGTCCTGTTCTAGAGACTAGGAGTGCAATGGCAAAGAGCCCCTAGAGAGGATTCTGTTACTCTAGGAACAATGCGATTAGCTTGGTCTAATGAGACTCATACTTCATTCCTTCAGTAAGTGATCATAAATATCCACTATGTGCCAGGCATTTGGTGATACACTGGTGAGCAAAACAGGTACAGTTCCTGCTCTCAAAGAGTCTACAATTAGTCGTGGTTGGGGGTAGAGGAATACAATGAATAAATCCAGAATCAGTAACAGCAAACTTGAACCCTGTTAAGGTTTGAACAGAGAAGCACATGACACTTGTAAATAGATACTTGCCTAATTTTAAAAAATGAATTGCTTCTTGGAGCAATTCACCCCTAATAGGGGTGAGCTCCAAAGGAAGAAAGGCTGTAACCAGGCAAAGGGATCATGAAAGCAACATATGGGAGCAGCAGGAGAAATAGCCTTGGCTAAAGCTGTGCAATGGGGCAAGTATCCTGTTGTGCTTAAAAAAAAAAAAAAAAAAAAAAAAAAAAAAAAAAAAAAAGAAATGTAGTATAACCAAGGCAAGAAAGCAAGGAGGGAAGGATGAGAAAGAAGCTGTAGAGGGCATCATGCATCAGTCCACACAGGATATTATGGCCCCAATGAGGGCTTGTGTTCTTTAACCTAAGGAACACAGGGCACCATTTAAGTGTTACTCAAGGAGCAATGATATGGTCAGATTTGTATTTCCAACAGATCATTCCAGCTTTAGTGTGGAACCAAAGTGGATTGGTAAAATGAGTTTTGAGATCACTGCAGGCGTTCAGATGGGAGATGATAGTTGCTTAGACTCAGGTGCTGACAGTGAAGATAGACAGATGTGATTAAAGAGATAATTACTTGAAATAGCTATAGATAAAATCTGTTGATGGCTTGGATATGGAGAATAAAGGAGAAAGAACTGTCAAGAATGACCACAAATCTTTGGCTTGCATGATAGGGTGGATGACAGTAATGTTTACGGGTTCCAGACACAATGGAAAAAGAATAGCTTTAGGGGGGAAATATATCTGGGGCAACTTGAGCTTGAGATATACTCCAGAAAAGTATGTAGTCAAAAATGAGATCTGGAGCTCTAAATTAAAGGTCAGAACTGGAGGCAAAAATGTGTGAGTCATATGTACACAGATGGTATTTGAAGCATGGGGGCCTGTTGACGAAATCACCCTGGGAGAGAATAAAGAGTATAAGGAAAAACAGACCTAGAATAGAGACTTGAGGGTCTGCAGTATTTAGTGAGTAGAGGGAGATAAGCCTGAATGGGGAACAGGAGTGACCACACAGGTAGGAAGTAAACCTGGGAGAGTATAGCATCCTAGAGCCAAGAGAAGAGAATGTTTCAAAAAGGAGGGCACGACCAACTGTGCCAAACGCTGTTCGCAGGGTAGAATCAAGTCCACACACGAAGGAAAGTGAAGATCTTGGATGAGTATTAGAAAACGTTTCCCAAAAGAATTCCAAGACATTCCTAAATAGAAGCAGCTTCAGCAATGACCGTAAACCTACAAAAGAACATACTTGAGGGCCATGGAAGAACATTCAGGGGATTTGGAGAGGCTGTCTGAAAGTCCAGAGCCCAGAGGTTTAGACAAATTCAATGAGTTCAGCCAACAGGTAGCAGAGCTGAAATCACAGACTTTACACAGTGAGGTTTTTAGAAAAATCCACGCTTGATTGGTCTAACCAGACATCAGATACAGGAATGTGAACATTCCCTAGGATAAGGAAAATCCAGCTTTGGCATTCTTTAGGGGAACTTGCCCTAGTCTCTGGAGATTTGTGCCTCTGTTCATAGTGGAAGTGTGTTGACAGGGTTCACAGGTGATACAGGAAATTGGACTAAAGCCAAGACAACATCCATGTGTGGCTCCTATATCTGAGGGATAGACAGAGGATGGGAGGGTCCTGCTTTTGTGGCAGTCAGGCCTGTCCACAGGGATTATATCTTAAATGCTCAGTGGAGCAGAATGTGACCTGTGATGGGAGTCATAAGAGAGCACATCAGGGTTGGCTACTGATGGGGCCCCTGGCAATGCGGTGGGCTTTCACAGATGCCAGCAGTAGGTACACATAGAAGGCTATCTGTCTGACTCATTGGCCCTAAAATCAAAAAGGGACTTTTCAGAGGGCTATCCCACTGGAAGCCCTTCAGTGGGATAACAACTGCATTACTTTTACCCCAAGCCTACCCTTTCCAGAAGAGTCAGGCTTAGTATTAGTCTGAGTCCCTAAAAAGCTGTCTCTGACTCTGGGTGACTTTGGTTTATTAAGCAGGGACTGGGAATTTGGGAACTGAGAGAAAGAGGAGGAATTTGGATGCATCTTCCTCATCTTTACCCTCCAGAGGACCCAATCTGAGAATAGGCCAACTGAATCAGAATTGGCATCTAGGCAGGCACCAGAAGGTAAAGTTCTCCAATTGGAGATGCTTTAAGGCTCTATTTGAGCCCCCTGTGTGATGTGATCATCAAAAATAATCTTGTGAACTCAGCTTGCACTGACAGGAGACTCTCTCTCCAACATCACGCTGCAAGCCTGACCTTACGG